GATCACGAAAATGACGATCGGGGCTTGTTTGCGGAATAGCGCATCTAGATTGGCACGGACGCTTTTCCGCAAAAAGTGCTTGTGCAGAAAAGTGTCCATGCCAATCTAGACGCTCTTTTTCACAAATGCTTTTAATGGAAAACTTTTCCATTAAAAGCATTTGCGGAAAATCATGCCAATCTAGACGTAGCCCTAGAGTTTGGAAAATCTCAGGTGTGAGGTCAGCAAAACAGATTTTAGTAAGAGCATCAAAAATGGCCATGCACATCAGCAACTAGTTACTGGGCCAGTCACCAGATTAAAGAATTAGGGAGCTAAAGACTAAAGTACCACAAAATCAGGGATCTAGAACTACACCATGGACAACTCATTGCTATTGTGTCTATTTTATGAGGTGTTTGACCAATTGCTGGGTACTATGCCTAGCAGGGAGCCAACAGCAGTGCCAATGACTTGGTCAATAGGGATGGTGATCTGTTTGTCCCAGAAGCCAGCATGGGGACTGATGGGAGCAAGCAGCATGTACCAAGAGGCCAGCAAAATGACTGCTACTGAAATTGGTCCCACAGGAGCAGCAGCTCTAGTGCCAAGTTCTGTACTAGGAAGAGCTTTTCCATACTCCCCCCTCCCAGATCAGCCAACTATGGCACCTGCAGAAGACAAGTAACAGGCAGAAGCGGCCCCACAGCCTGCAATTTGTCTGCTTCAGTGTTTAGTAAGATGGGAATGGGAGACTTCTGTTCAATGAACCAAATGCAAATTACCAGAAGCCTTGGTTACCAGGGGGAGTCCATTAATGATGGGCAGCATGCTAGTGCCTTAACTCACCCCCAAACCCCAACAGTGGGAGTTCAAAAAAAACCTTACCTTGCAGCTGTTGTACGTATGCTGCTCTGTGACCACTCTGTGGTCTAACAAGCCACCAAAAACAATGAACTAGGGAAGGGACAGGAGGAACTGTATTATATTTATAAATCTAGTACATTTTAGTTGAACACAATCTTTAGGCGAGAGTCATTTATCCCAGCCTAACCCACCTCCAGGGGGATTTCAATCCACCAAATGCACATTCAACCACTATTGTACACCTTCTCAGGGTAGAGTTTTATAAGCCAAGGCAGAAATCAAGTCCCCCAGAATAACTGGGGATAGTAACAGCACCATTTGGTGGTAAGGTCCCACGCTGTCCTTGAATGCAGACTCCTGATCAGCAAAACATGACATTTTCTTGTATTACCACCTTGACATTCAAAGATCATTGTCTGCAATACATGTAGGCCTGCAGAATTTTGTGTTTAAATATTCACGTGCTTTTAGAGGTCAAAAATCACATCAATGGCCCTGGCAAAATTTGAAAACTACATTCTGTCAAAGCCAGAAATTACCTCAGGACATATCTTTTATCCAAGCCACATTAGGAGAAACCAGATGCACAATTGCCTCAAACTTTTGCCACCACTTTACTTTCCAATGACAGATTCTTTAGCAACAGACCTATAGCAATCTTAGGCCGATGATTATTGCAATCCACTTCTGGAACATGCAGTCCCACATCATGCATGTCTTTATGCTGGAGGATTGGGGCAAACTGCTCAAAGTTCCAGAAATGTGGCTCTCTTTATGCAAAGGCTCTGGATCTCAATCTGGTCACCTCAGGCCTGCGTGGTGATGTGGTCCCACCACTCTGCTCCAGTATGTGTCAAGAGGCATCAGCAGTTGTACCAAGTGTCATGAGCAGCATCAGCTAATTGGACTTTACTACATCTGTGTCCTCTATCAAACAATCAGGTACTCTCCAGTGGATCAGAAAACATACCCAAAATGTCCACCAGTTTCTCAGAAGCTCAGACCATTTCTGATACAGAATTAGAAATGCAAGCAAGTATAGTTCTTCCAAAGGCATCTCCTGCACATTGCTCATGTCAGCTGCTGGGCGTGCACAGGCCCGACTGCTCAGCAGAATGTATCAACCTGGTTGTTTAGCTTTCCAGTAGCAGGCAGGATGAACAGTCAAGTTTTCCAACCCTGCACCACAGTCAAAGACCTAGAGTGGCCACATTTTGGCAGGGCAGTAGGGAGTCTGGAATAATGTTGGATTGACTGATGTGTGCAACAGCGTAAACACCACGGCTGTGTCTACACTGGGCCACTTATTCTGGAAAAGCAGCCACTTTTCCGGAATAAGCTGCGAGCTGTCTACACTGTCCGCTTGCTTTTCTGGAAAAGCAATGATGATCTAATGTAAAATCGTCATTGTTTTTCCGGAAAAACTATGCTGCTCCCGTTCGGACAAAAGCCCTTTTCCAAAAAAACTGTTCCAGAAAAGGGCCAGTGTAGACAGCACAGTAGTCTTTTCCGCAAAAAAGTCCCGATCGCAAAAATGACGATCGGGGCTTTTTTGCAGAAAAGCACGTCTATGTTTGCACGGATGCTTTTCCGGAAAAAGTGTTTTTCTGGAAAAGCATCCTGCCAATGTAGATGCGCTTTTCCGGAAATACTTATAAGAGAAAAACTGTTCCGTTTTAAGCATTTCCAGAAAAGGGTGCCAGTGTAGACGTAGCCCACAGGTTCAGGTTAGAAAATTCTTAACCTTAGGTTGACAATTAGTGGAGACAACACAGTCATCTGACCCTCTGCTAAAGAAGCCTAAGTCCCATTAACTCTCAACTTACACTGCAATATAGACATACCCACAGAGGTTTCAGCAGTAAGTTTCAACTGAAGATGTGTCAGATAAAACCATACTAGCTTAGTATGATCCATGGAAGTAAAAGTGTTTGATTTATATGACTGCTCCAGGGAAATACTTCCACATGCATCACATCAAAGCTTATAAAGGGAATAAATTCCCAAATTACTATTTCATTATCCATCAATAGTTCAATATCAGATCAGAAATTTCTGGAAATCAAGATTGGGATTAGCTGTACTTTCTTAATGTGAAAACTGAAGCAATTTGCATAGGTATTTGGGTCTCAATTCAGGCACTTGCCTTTCCTTTAAAATTACAGTTATAACCTTGGTATTCACTAGCCCTGGAAAGTAAAAAGATTTTAATTGGCTTGTTTTTCCATCTGGCAACAAGCCTCATGTGCATATAAGAGCTTTTCATATCTCGAGAGAGTGATAAAGACAGAAGAAATTCATCTAATTTAGAAGCTTGAAGAACTTGGACAAATTATACTTAACTCCCATGGAAGAATACTTATGTTAACTTTTATTATGCAAATATTCCCACTCACACTAAAAAGGTCTTATGTAAAAATGCATAAACACTCCAAGGAAACACTCATTTATTGAATCCCTTAATGCAGTGTTTCCCAAATGGTGTTCTGCAGAACCCTGGTGTTCTGCAAAGTAAAAATAAGGGTTCTGCGAGAAAATTCCATTACAATAACATTTTTATGATTAATAACATTTATTAATTTTATTGAAAACAATTTTCATTTGTGTTTGTCACAATAAGTGTCCCTGTGTAATGCCAGCTTAGCCAGAGAATGGGGACGATGTCACTACTACTTTTTCAGCTCCATCTATAAGACTGTAATTAGGGGTTCCACAAAATTATTTTGAGTTTAAAAGGGTATTGTGACCAAATAAAATTAGGAAACACTGCCTTAATGTAATAAAACTTAGCAATAAAAAGTTGTCCACCATAATTGCTTTGTTAAATATGAATTTATCATGTGGTCAATTTTAATTTCAAGAAGTAAATTGCATTTGCTTTTCAATATGCTGCTAATCTTCAATCAGAAGATTCTTTAAAACTATACTGTTACTCACAATCTATGCAGTTCGTTTCAAGTTTGTTGTCTTGCTGATGCAATGTTTTAAAACAGACAGCTAGAACTTAACACAATCATGCAAATCAATATAATTTTAAGTGGGTTATCACTAGTGGAGCAGCAACTTTCACCAAACACCAAAACATATGGCCTGATTAAAGTCAATGGGAGTTTTGCCATTAAGCTTACTTGGACAAAGATTTGACTCCTGGGCATTGCAGCACCTGAATGGGAGTTTTGCCATTAAGCTTACTTGACTCCTGGGCATTGCAGCACCTGGTTGAGGATCAGTTCTGGACAATGGCTTAAAGTGACTTGACAGCAGGAAAACCAATTGAACAAAGAAAGAGTTGAGCTGCATTAATCGACATGAAAGACTCTACTTCTCAAGGAAGAGTCATTTTATTACTTATTGTTAATTTCTACAATGACTAATGACGACTCACAAAAGGAATAGATTTTGATATAAGGCAAGCAGATTTTATGCCTTTGCGGGTACATTTTATGATAATTTAACCAGCTGGCATCTACTGAAGTATTTTGAAAGCAGTCATTAAAATAGAGCAAGTGATTTACAGTAGCATCTTATAAGAATGCTTTCAAATGAAAAATACGGTTAGCCATTCTAGCAGGGTACAATTTTAAAGTAAAATGGATATTACAGAAAACAAGGTCAAAAGTGGTCTCTGATATACAGCCAAGGAATAGGATAACTATCATCTCAAATATAGAAGTCGACAGCTCTGTTTTGCAACTGTTGCAGAAAGCATTGAAGAACAAAATGTACCTTTTAAATCAGGCACTGTAAGACTTGTTGAGATTTCAATAGGACACGTTATTTTAACTGCCTGCTTCACTGATAGTCTGAAGGATTAGCGGTTTCTGAACAAAATAGTAGATATTCTTGAAATTTTACTATTTATTCATTCAAGACAGTTGGGTTCAATTTTTTTAAAAGGGCAGTCAACGTTTTTTAGGGTTCAATTTTCAGTACAGCTCATTCTACAGTAGGCATCGTCCCTATTCATCCAACCTGGCATAATGCAAGTACAAAAATATCCCAATGTATTAATATTTAAATCGTATGTGTGTGCATAGTAGGGCCATCCTAAACATCTGCTTGCAATTGAAAGGTTAGGGTTTTATGAGACAAGCAGTCCAATGACAATTATAATGCTGTGGAATTATCCCAGCATTAGTTTCCAATGCATTTACTTGTTTTATTGTAAGGATCAGCATCAGTAAAAGTTAAAATAGGTTTAAAATTCCATGAAAAAGTCCGTCTGTCTTTGATAAAAATCAGAGGTACACTGCATCTTTCCAACATAATTTTAATGTAGTTTCCTGTGAAGTCTGAGAGATTAATCACTCAAAAGGCATATTTATACTTCAAGAAAAAAGCTGGAATCACAAGAGTGCCATAGTTTAATCAAGTGCTCTCTTTTTTGACAGCAGCATGAAGTGTTTCTGTAATATTACAGGAATCTTATTCCAGCTCCAAACTGGACACCATCACATATCCTGAAAGATAAAGGCAATACATTGCACAGTATTAGTATGATACATAAGATATTATTTTCCCTCTTTCTAAAGGCAATACATTGCACAGTATTAGTATGATACATAAGATATTTTCCCTCTTTTGACAGTTCCCTCCTACTCAAGATTTTCACTTTTAAATCCTTGAAAAGTTACAATCCAAATATATTTTGAGAACGTTGAGCTGACAACAGTTACTTTAAAAATGAAACAAAAAACCTATCCTAAAAATGTTCCACCCTTTTTGGCCTATCAGTAATGGAAGATTATAGGGCAAATTCCTCACTCTTTCACATCACCCTTAGCCCAAAAGGGGCAACAATGTGGCATTATATGTCAATTCCTCAGAAAATAAAACTTGAGGAGAGCAAAAACCTATCTGTATTCCCACTGAATCTTTCCCATTGTGTATTATATCATTTGCATGCTAGATAATGTCATACCTGGCTGCAAAATGCAAACATAACCCTCCCCTCCCATTATCAATGCCTAACTTTTTAAAAAAAAAAAAATCACTTTTCAGGTATGAAATTCCATGTTTGGTACTCTTTAAAAAAGTTTGAATGGATAAGGAAAACGCTATCAGCTATTGGAGTCTGTGTCCTTATTGTAAACAAAAAATACAATCAGCTATGTTTTTATTCATATAGTTTCCATAACTAAACTCAAAGTTCAGTGAGTTCTGAAACCGGAAATATTAATAGTTCTAAATTGAGAAGGGCTTCTGAAACCGATGTGGAAAAAAGTTGGCTGGAAAAAAAAAAAAGTGCTTCGGTGCTGAGAAATCTACAAATAAATAAATAGATAAAGAACAAACAAAAGACTAATATTCTCACTGAAGCAGACAAATAAGATTCCAGGTACACAAATTAGTCAATATTCTAAAATACACTATAAAAATACAAACCTGTCACCACTCTGTACTCCCATAGGGAAACAGTAGTTAAGTTCCAATCTAGCAATGTTTCCAAGTCTGAGCACTATTCCAGCACCATAAGACCATCGGATGAACTCAGCCAGCTTCCGGAGATGAGCTTTGGGACCTTCACCTAAGTGAAATGAAACATTTGGAGAATGGAAATCAAACAACACCATCAAGAAGTTCAAGGGCTGACTACATTTCCAGGCCTAGTACACCTAGCGCTATAGAACATCCACTACAAAGAGACTAAGCCTGGTATAAACAAAGTACCTACAACTCCCAGGGATCCTCAGCATCTCACAATAAGGAATCACTACTCTGTACTGCCTATGTGGTGTTCAAGAGCCACTTCTGAATTTCCACAGCTATGGTACCCAGCATTAGAAAGCGCATTTAATATCTTCAGTAAGTTTTACTAATTTTAAATAAGATTCCTAGGCTGTTCAATTGCATATACAGAGCACCTTTACTGACTGCATGAGTTAACTCACCTCTTTCAAACTGCATGGGTGACAAATGTCACTACAGTAACTGCTCACCCACTATTTCCAGCAAAACTGCTGAAGAGACTTGAAAAGTAAGCTTAAGGAGTAATGGAGAAAAGAATCAAACTAGTTAGCGAACCCTCAAAAGAGGTTATGGTATACTTTTTAATCCAGTTGAGCACAGAATAGTTTTTTTGATTTTTACGTTTACCTCCAAACCTCCTTCAGAGCAGTCTGTCTAGGACAGTGGGCATTAAGGTTATATCTACACTAGGGGTATGTCTATGCTATGGGACAAAGTCAAGTTAAGCTATGCAACTTCAGCTATGTTAATTGAATAGCTGAAGTCAAAGTAGCTTAACTCAACTTTTGGTGCTGTGTACACAGCAGGAAGTTGAAGGAGGAGCACGCTTCCTTTGACTTCCCTTACTCTTCATGAAAGCAGAGTTACCAGCATTGAATGGAGTGCCCCTCTCAGTTTGAATTAGCAGTCTTATTTCATTTGAACCCTGGAAGATTGACAGTAGCAGCTTAAATCTTCCTCTGTAGTGTAGATGGACCCTAGAAAATTAAGTCCACCTATATTAGGTGGACTTACAGCCACTGCAGTAATTACTGTGCTGATGCTTGTCCACTCTATCCTCTTGGGTCAGTGGTGCACAACCTCACCAGAAGTGCTTCCATCAACCTATGAGGTGCAGTGTGGGGAGCTGGGAGTCTGGTCACTCAGCTCAGCTGAAAGCTCCCTGGATGCTCCATAGGCTGCTCTGTTCCTTGTTCCGGGGAAGGGGAGATGGGAAACCACCTGAGGCTTCTCGCCTTTTGGGAGTGGATCCAGCTGCCCCAGCTTCTCTGCATCCCACCCCAGGAACCAGGCAGTCTTGTCAATTTCATGACTCCAACTACAAAACCGACAAGAGAGCCAACAGCAATGTAAATAAAGCAATGTCTACCCAGATGCAGTGTCACCCTAACTCAGCAGTTCCCAACCTTTTCTAGATGGGGACTCATTTTGACAATTCAGGAAGACTTGGTGACCCAAGGCAATTCAAAAACAGGGGGAGAAGAGGAGGCAGAGCCACCTGGGGAGACACTTGGTGACCCTTTTGAAATATAATGGTGACCCATATTTTGGTCCCAACCCATAGGGTGGGAAACCCTGCCGTAACTATACCATCCTGACCCATATACCTCTTTTGGACGTGGAGTTATGATGGAGTTATTATGACAGTGTAGTCCTGCAAGAATATCAGGAGCAGGAAGGCTGTAGTGTAGTCACTGACATAATTAGGTCAATGTAAGTTGCCTTACATCAACCTAAAAGCATAGTGCTGACCAACCCTAAGTAAGCACAAATAAGTATGTGGAAATAGCACAGACTTCCACCCATCCCTTCTGCAACTTGAAAAATCCCTGGCCTAACAAGTTTTAAAATCAAATACAGGCAGTCCCCGGGTTACATGGATCCGAATTACATCGGATCCCTACTTACAAACGGGGTGAGGCAACCCCGCACTAGCTGCTTCCCCCCAGCAGACCAGGGAGACGCGAAGCTAGCGCCTCCCTCCCCCAGCAGACCAGGGAGACGCGGAGCGGATTTTCTCAGCAGACACCTCAGCTTGAGAATAAACGACTGAGGGAAGTGAGGTGTGGGAGAATAAAACTGAGCTCTGGAGAAATGTTTGGCTAGAGTTTCCCCTACCATATGTACCAGTTCCGACTTACATACAAATTCAACTTAAGAACAAACCTACAGTCCCTATCTTGTACGTAACCTGGGGACTGCCTGTACTGCAGATACAGGTCTAGTGAAGTTATCATTCTGTCAAATATGTAGACTACCAACAGTTGCCCTTTATTGGCCCACTAAATTATATGGTGCAAACTAATAGCAGAATAGAGTTGTTTACTCAAAGCTGTTAGGTTCTGTGGACTTGGAGGATCAGGTTGTCATGGTTTAGAAGCACCTTCTTCTTACCATAGTTAAGATTGCAGAGGTTTCCAGCATTGAGGAAAAAGTGTGTTCTAAAGAGGTCTCCAAATCCCCCACGACCTGGCCGGAAAGGGAGAGGTGTGTACATATGCAGGCCTCCAGCCCAATAGGCTTCTCCTCCCAAGTAATCACCTACATGGGGGAAAAGATTATCAAAATGACATTTAATGAATATTCCAGAAGGAAAACTTTTCTACATATGGTCCAGGAAAAATCTTCCTAAATTGCTTTATATACCAACAACCCACTTACCAAAGGTTCCGAACTCTCCACATCACCACCTCACATGAGGATAAATTAATACTTTCCTAACACTCTTATTCTCCTAAGTGCTCTTCCCTTTTTATCTCTGCCTTCAGACAAGCCATTTGGAGTGGAGACCTTTTAGGTATTTGGCATAGCACCTACTGTACACTTCTCAAACAGGTATCCCCATTTTAAAGCAAGGAAAAATATATGGTTATGTGACTAATTTGCTGTAACATTAAGTCAGTAGAACAGCAAGGATTAGAATGGAGGAAGCTCCTGGCTCCCAAATCCCTCTCTCAGCTTACTCTGCCTATCTCCTATACAAAACCCCATGGTTTATATATAAACTACATGACCATACGCTGTTCCAAATACAGATTCAGTATGATCACTACTATAACCACTTTTTTTTTTAATTTTGGAAAAGAGTGAAAAATCAAGGTGACTCACTGGAGACTGAAATTTAGGTCACTCCTGTGAATAAGAGTCAGTAAATTAGGATGAGGCTCTTGAAAGTCAAAGATATTTTGCTAGCCTTGTCTCTTGCAATGGTGCCTTAAAAAGGAGCAGGGCTATTTAAGCAGTATTAATTCTGCCTCATCCTCAACTAGTTTTAGTACTAGCCACATACCCAATATCTTAATACCCTTTGAAGGATATAGGGAAGTTTTAGATATTCCTTTAGAAATGAGAAAGTTTAGAGAAGAATGTGAATGGAGTAACGGTACAAAAACCTAAACAAGACTACATTAATCAGTTTAGAGAAGTATTAGGCACTCTAGAAATACTGCTGGAGACTGGCTTTGTTCTACTGTGAACTAACACTAGGAGATCAAAGATACCTAAAACTTCTCATCCATTATACCCACCCATTCTAAGAGAAAATGCCAGAGGCAGATAAAGCAGTTTCCACTTATTTAAAATCTGCAATATGTATAACAAAGATATAAACCTAACATTAACATGATTAACATTGTATTGATATCAGACTGGGATGCAAGAGTCTCAGACCTTCGCTTTGAGGTCCAATGCTGTACATACTGAATCCACGCACACTTGTTGGTCCACCAAGATAAAACCTAATGAACAAAGTAATTTTTAGTCAGATACATCATCCTTATTTAAAGTCTTCTAGTTACATTTTAAAATATATACTTATCAATTCTTTGACATTTATATTCAGAATTGCAGGAAAAAGGTGCTTTTAAAAATACAGAAGAGATGTAATCAACCCAATTCATTGAGGAAATATTTAGACAATTTTAAAATGTGTTTACCTTTTAATTTAAGTATTTGGGGAGGAGGGAAAATTAATCTTTACTTACCAAAACCAAAATACAGGGGGTCTGCATTTTCTTTGCTAGGTCTGATGTCACAATCAGTGTAAGAAATGCAGTTTACAGCAATATTATTTAAAAATAAAGTTTAAATATTTACTTTTACAGATCTTTAACAAACTTTTGTATTTTAAAGCACAGCTAGAATATAATATCACTCGATGGGTTTACCACTCAATGGTATATAACTTCTCTGCAGTATTTCCCCTAAACTTACAATGGAAAATTTTGTAAATATTATGGTAAATTTAGACACTGGAGGTGACACCTATTTGCTATTTAGTGGCAACCACAGCAAGTCCATAACAACCTTAATAATCTTCAGAGTAGGGATGTTAAATTGCAGTTAATTGACTAGTCTATAGGCACTTCTGCATTCCTCCTTTGAAATGTACAAGAGCCCCCAGGAATCAGCTGATCCCAGGTTCTGGGGAAATGCCATTCGGAACCAGGTTAGCTGGGGAGTCCCCAGCTGACCCTGGGCTCCATGGCGCTTTGGCGTTTTAAAGGGACAGCACCACACAGCTGATTCACAGCTCAGCTGTGCGGCACTGCCGTTTTGAAGTACCCCCTCCCTCCCCTTTGCTGCCTCTATATAGTAGAGGCATCGGGGGAGCGGGATGGACAGGAGAAATCGACTAGTCGACAGTCTATCCGATTATCTGATAAGCATTTGCTTATCAGATAGTCTGTCGACTAGTCCTTAACATCCCTACTTCAGAGGGGTAGCCGAGTCCATAACTGGAAAAAAATTAAAAATAATGAATAGTCTAGCAGCACCTTAAAGCTAACAAAACATGTAGATGGTATCATGAGCTACCCATGAAAGCTCATCATACCGTCTACATGTTTTGTTAGTCTTTAAGGTGATGCTAGACTATTTGTTGTTTTTTAACCTTTATAATGGAAATGATAAATGAGGTATGCTAGAAATATTAATGTGGTGTTCAAATTAAATGGGATCCTGCCTCCTATAGTACCCTTAACTAAAAATAAATAAATCTCCTTCCCCTTCATAATGCAAAAGAAACACCAACTAGAGCGCTTTCACAGTGTGTTGTCTGAGTTTACAGAAAACAAAATCAACAGGACAATGAGAATTAAATGCATTACTTGCCTATCAGCAATACTGGAGGGCTTATCTCCTAGAGGAACCAACATTCCACCCCAGAGAGATGCTGAAAAAACCTTAGGAAAAAGCAAATCTGTCTTTTAAAATTCTGTATTACTCAGATACTGTACAACAGTGCTGGTCAAATTCTGCCATTCAACACACATGCAGAGCTCCTACTGGGTTATCTAGAGCTACATGAGATCAAGATATGTTTTACATGTAGTAAGATGAATAGAACTGCCTTTTCCTTAAGATGTGTACCATGCACATTTTTTTAATATTAGCTTTAATAAAAGATTTAAATCTCTTCTATTCTCTAACAAATGTATTTTCAGACAAACTGTTGGCCAGTGCTGCCCTCTTTCTAAAATATGCAGTGTTACATCATCAAAAAAAAGTTAATACACACTTAAAATAAAACAATGAAATTGAAAAATAGCAAAGTCTAAAATCCAAGTCCTGCTCTCGCAGCCACTCAGATGCTGCCTCTTCAGCTTCTCTGCAAAATAAACTAAACCATCACTTCAACATCAGTTGCCACCTGTGACTTCAACATGAGGACAGGTTTCATCCCCAGAGAACATCAAATAAGACTGCAAGCCATAAGGCCCCTATAATTTAATCTCCCAGCCTATTTATCAAGTAAGTTTACAGGTAAACAAATCATAATTATAAACTGCAGATAGCGCCTACACTATGTACAAAATAGAAGGAAAATACTGTTGTGTAGCTGGGTCTTCCAAAAGACTATAAAAATCTATAGGTAGTTTAGACTATAAAAAGTTATAGTTTTATTGCACATATGAAATCTAAATATAGGAAGCCAAATTCTTACATGTTCACTTACACTGAATAACACTTTAACCATATTCTTCAGTGGCACTGCTTGTAAAGTACTGCTCTGGTGACAGAATCTGGCCAAGCATTATTAACGGAAGTAGTAAGCACACAGCAATCCAGAGCCTTGTGTGCAGTTGTAATGCACTTTATGTTAAACCTCCTCAAAAGTTTAACTTCCTGCAAGCCAGTGGATGAGCAGAATGTAACAAACAGCAACAAAGCAGCCATGTTCAATCTCTACAACTTCTGTATGGCTAAAGCGTATCTTCCAGAAAAGCATTCTGTTTTGATCTGAAGACATCAAGAAAAGAAGAATTCACCATTTCACTTGGTAGTTTGTCTCAGTGGTTGTTCACACCAAATGTTAAAAACGTGTCTTATTTCTAATTTGAATTTGTCTGGTTTCTACTACTAGACACTGGTTCTTGTTATGTTTTTCTCCACTAGATTAAAGAGCCTGTTAGTACCTGGTATTTCATCCCTATAAAAATACTTATACCGTACTAGGGATGTTTAAATGCATTTAATTAAGAAACTATGTTACTGCTGAAAAATTTCAATGGTTACATGTGCAGGGGGTGGAAGAGAAGTTGAGAACGACTCCTCTGGAGCCGATATAATGATGAACATTAACTGATGAGCATGGGCTCATCATCAATTAAGTGTGTACATGGTTACAGTTTCACATTCCTAACTTATACTTTATAATCAAGTTACCCCTCAATCTTTTTTGTTGAGATAAAACTGAGCTCTTTAAAGTCTCTTAATCCAAGTTATTTTCTCCAGCCCTCTCATCATTTTTATGGTTCCTTTCTGAACCCTCTCCAATTTTCAACATGGTTTGAAAAATATGGACACTAACACTGTATAAAGTATTATAGTATCAGGTCTCACCAATTCCATATACACAGGTAAAAATCACCTTCCTATTCCTAGTCACTATGCTCCTGTTTATATATGCAAAGATTACATTTGCTCCTGTTGCCACAACACTGCATGTATGCATTGCATTTCTAGTTTACGGATGTGTAACTTCGCGCTTAACCATATTAAAATGCATTTTGCTTGCATCAGCCCATCTTACCAAGCAATCCAGATTTCTCGGCTCCCATCATTATTTACCAGTCTGCCAATCTGGGTGTCAGTCACAAATTTTTATCAGCAGTGACTTCAAATTTACATTTCCAGATCATTGATAAAAGGATTGAATACCGTCAGGCCAGGTATGGTTCTCTGTGGAACACCTGCAGCTATATTCTATTATGATTCCCCTCTGACAGAAACTGTTTGAAATCTGTCAGCCAGTCAGTTTTTTTAATCTATTTAACAAGGAGTCTATTGATACTGTATATGTTAGTGTTTTAATCATTACAGAAGGCTAATTTTTAAAATCAGACTGTTATGGGATACCAAGTCAAACACTTTACAAAAGCCTAAGCATATTACATCTACGCAGTTACTTTCATCAGCTAAATTTGTAATCTCAACAAAGAATGAAACCAGGTTTGCTTGACAATTCCTTTTTTCCATAAAGCCGTGCTGACTGACATTAATTATATTCCTTTCTTTTAATTATATTCCTTTCTTCTCTATCAACTGACTGCCATTTCAGCGTTTCCATTATTTCCCCTAGGACTACAGGCCTAAAGCTACCTGGGTTATCCTGATTTCCCATTTTTAAATATTGGCACAACATTAACATTGTTCCAGTCATCTGAAATGCCTTTGGTATCCAAAAATGTATTAAAAATTAACATCGGTGCTTCAGAGATTGGCAAATTATCCAGGCCAGCTAATTATAATCTATTAAGGATAAATATTTTTAAACATCCCCTTCAGTTTCTAATGAACTAGAGAGAACTTCATTCTCAGATGATACAAGTATATCACCTTAATTATTTCTAAGTACAAAGCACTTCGCCTTTTCTGCACTATTACCATCTCGGTCTATTATTTTACTATCTTGGTAATTTTACCATATCAGTCTATTATTGTGTTTACATCACTGCTAGGTTTCTTCTGTTCCTCATATACTTAAAACATCATCTTCTCTTGTCCTGAGCCCTGCCACCCCATTGTTATTTTCCTGATAAGTTAAGCTTCTCTAATCAGTTTTCTGCAGTTCATAAGCTCTGGATATTGATTGCTCTCTATTTCCCCCTTGTTATGTATTGCCTTTTAATATCTTAGTTAACAGGAGGCACAAATTAAAGATTGAACACAAATAATACCATTTTCCTTCCACGGCTCATTTGCTTTCAGTTACACATTGATACAGAAAGCAAACTGATTATATATTAGCACTGCTAAAGTAAATCAAATGGTGCACTCTCATAATCAAAACAGTATGTGATTTAATAGAACTTCATTTTGCTTCCCCAAATCAAGGACCCCCCTCTTGTACTGACACGTTTGAAGCACAGAAGATGTCCTCATTTGTATTTCATGGTATATTATCTCCTTCCCACCCAACATGCCTGACCTCAGATTTTTTTTTTAAACCAGGGAGGAACCTCTTTCCAAACCAGTAATATTGCTCCACTTAAGACCACCAGTGGATCAATGGAGAATGATGCAATGAGCTATCCTCTATCCACAGGATGAGCAGGTACTGTTTTTCTGCCACCATTCCCTTCATATATTAAAGTGTTTGGTATTTCATGTTAAAAGTATTTGTTTCTCTCATACAAGTTAAAGTATGAAAAAAGCATTAGAGCACAATATTGTGCTAAAGTTATTAAAAATAGGGAGCCTTGAAGAACACCTTGATATTTATCCACCAAAGACACCACAAAATAATGAATTCCAAGGTGCTAGATATAAGGAAAAAAACAAAACAATATTTGCATGAAACTTCTGGTATCTATTCATCATATTCTGGGACATTTGCAATGGACCCAAGAGAACAAAACTAGAGAGCCTAAGAGAGGTTTTTAAACAGATAAATGCAAATGTATTCATGTATTTAATGCTCTCCACAGCTTGGTTTGTGGGCACTTTAGCATATAATGTTGTTAGCTCCATTTTGAGGTTAGCTTTCCAGTTCACCATCAATAGTTTTATATCAAAGAGAAATAAAACAAAGATAATAACGATGATAATAGGTGCATAATCTTGAATTCATAGTACTATTAACATCAAATAAAAACAATGTATAACTAAAATTCAGGAAGACAAGATTGACAGAGGATTTTTAATCAAGGGCAGAAGAAATAAGAGTGAAGGAATCCAAATATCAAGGAAGCTGGTAACAGCAACCATTATCAATCAACAGAAGTTCCACATAATAGATACATCAAACTAAATTCCTTTAAGAGAAAACGTTTCTCACCCCTAATTATTTGAGTTGTCCCTTCTCTTCAAAAATGTTTACCTCCCAAATTTCTATGACATACAGAAATGTCACAGACAGAGATTAATCCAATGATAAAATATTACATATTAATTCTAAGGCAAATTAAGGAATCCATACATTTAGCATTAGTCATGCCTTTTTGAAGGCATGGTGAAAATGGATCATGATAAACATTAAAACTATCCCATTTGTTACGTTAGTAATTGAACTGAAAATGTGTAAATACTTACTGAATCCCATAAAAGTTTCTTATTCAGTTGAAGCTCGAAGTCCTCTTTTAGAAAGGCCACATCGCCACCTGAGTAGCCAGCTAGCTCCTGGAAAAAACAAACTTTAAGACACTGAAGAACACAGACATTTTGGAGACCTCCTCTTCTCAACATAATTAATCTAAGGCTGTGTCACTACCAGCAGGGTTCTCTATGTAGGCAACAGAACTTTCCACATTGGCATGGATGGGCAACCAAATTCAACACCTGTGGGAAAAGTGCAGCTGAGTCCTACAGAAATGAAAGGTCAACCACACTTTCTTACCACAGTTGTAAAATACGGACACCCCTTTATGCACCGATTGTTGTCAAGAGCTTGATGGGAAGGGGTGGCAGTGCTCCATTTCCATGAGATGTATATTACTAGTTCAAATGTTACTAACTGAAAACTATGCAAGTCGAGTTGCATTTTACTAAAATATGGGCAAATGTACAGAATACAAGCAACAACACATGATATTTTGTTTTGACCATCTAACAAATACTAAACTGCTGATGATTGCAAATCTTATTCACAGTTTGCATTTTATCACATATATATCTTGAAAGATGCCTCATTTCCTCCACTATATACCCTCTACTTCTTTCCTTATTAAGTCCCCAAATCACAGCCACCAACTTTGCGTAGAAGGAATAAACAGAAAGTTGTTCATTTGATCTAAGTTGCTACTTGCTCTTATTTCATCTAAATTGCTACTGCAGTTCTTCCAAACTCTGCTGGAAGGGAGAATGACATTTCAATCCACCATGTGATCTAACTGTTAACGCATACATCTGAGAAGCTAATTCTTTAAGATATTTGAAGGGTGAGTGGATAGTGGAAACCATTTTCTAAACTCATGCACATTTTGAAAGTTAGTTTTATAAAAACAACTTAGTGCAATGAACTTAAACATCTATATAGTCTGACAACATTAGGATGTAATGATACAAAATGTGTTCTGGGTGTTAATTTTGCCACTGACAGTCTTGGCAGCTGAAAGTATTTTTAACCAAAGTATTCAATGTCAGTAATTGAAGACTGTTTTGCAATAATATTGTTTATCTTCATATTTATATCGTATTTGTAAAGAGAATTAGTGATTTAAATACACACACAGGTGTGGAAAAGTGAAAACAAAACTAGTTTGAGTGTATTTGATTGTATTCAATTTGTTCTTGCTTAAAATGCATATGCAGAAATGAGCAATATCAACTTGAAAAACTAACACCTATTACTGGAGTCAACATTACCTGATTAATTTTCAGCAAAGCACCTCGTCTTGGCAAGATTGAAGAGTTCCGAGAATCGATTACCATGGCATGCTAAAAAGACAGAGTTATTTAAATGGTACAAGGAGCTAGCCATACAAGCAAGGGATGAATTATTTGCCATTAGAAACTGGGCACATGTTAGGAGACAAGTAGCACACTCAGGCTAAGGCTAAATCACCTACATATATTGAAGAGCCAAGAGAAGATTATGCATCTACAAAGGAGAACCCAATTCTGTTTTAACATATGGCAACCCTCCTAAAATTCACTCATGGACTTGTATTTTGTGAGTTAAAATCAAAGATTGCAAAGTGCTACAGTGATAAAATGTATACAAGTAACACAAGAGCTCTGTCTTCCTAGGTGGGGCTGGGTAAAGGGCCCTTTGTAGGATCGAGGGAGAAACCATATCTTGTACTGTGTTCAGCAGCTTTGCAGAAATAAAAAAAGATATGGGAAGAAGGAATAGGAATCTCCCACCTGGAGCTCTGAAGGATGAAGGAGGAGGGGAGCTAAGCTTCCCTCCAGCCAAACAAAAACTAGCAGTCACTAAGGCTAAGTACTTTGTCTAGTGACCTGCTATGTGATTTGTTGAGAAAAGTCACACTATGCAGTAGGTGTCTGAACACTAAACACATGGTCTGTAATTACTAATGTTTTGGTAATAAGCAAAAAAAGAGTGCGCTCTTTTGGCAATATTCACAATTCCTATGGTATTCAAAAGCATACATATACCATTTACAGTATGAAAAAACCTTACAGAGAGAGAAGATTTAAGAGAATGTCCACTTTCTTCTCGAACAGAAAAGGACGCTGTTCTTGCAAGTGAGCCAAGCTCTCTCCAAACACCTTCCCACTTCAATGTGTGATTGGTCTTCCATATGGGAAACTACAAATAAAGACATTTGAACAATCGGGAAGTTTTATAAGGTACAAGTATAACTTTTTCCTCACAAATTTGCATTTCTAATGCCTCATTTCTCTTTCCAAGTTCCTGTACTGGCTCTGAAGAAACAACTCATTCCTCCCTGCCAAAATAGCGTAATTCTACAAGCCAAGGTAATCCATCTCTTTATGAATGGGAAAACATTACTGAATAGCCTCCCATGCAAAACACATTCTGAACTGTGAATCCAGTGTGGCAGACAGATACCTCTTTGAAATCAGGACATATTTAGCACTACCAGTTTTGTAAGCTGATAAAGCGAATTTGTTTTTGCTAAAGGTGAAATTAGATTTGATTCCGTGTACTACAGTCTTTCAACAGGATTAAAGAGTCTCAGAATTGCCATATTTCTTTTTAACGCAAAACAATCACTGTCATGTATTTCAGAAATCTAGAAAAAAGCGCTATACAAGTACACCTTGAACTAAATTATATTTAAATGAGGATTCAATTCCATTTGTTCTTGCAGCAATACAGGAAAAGGGAGATAGAATTGTACTTACATTAAATTCTGTGGATATTCCCCTGTCAGTCTCACGAAGGGAGCTCCAAGGAAACTGCCCAGTTACTTTATACATGTTAACTGAAAAACTAAACAAAAATACACGATGATTTGAAGAAAAAAGTGTTATAACAAGTTTAAAAAGAAGATGCGTTTTGGGACATTAACATAACAGAGCAGTAGCAAAGCAGATGGAATGAGCCATATTGGAATGAGCCATAAAAGCACAGATTTCAAGTCAATCTGTGCTATAAACAGATCTTATTAACTGTTTTATTTGCTTATCAAAACTGAAAGATAAACTGAGTCAGTTACTCTAGCTCTCAAGCTAACTCTCATCAGTAATTTCACATCCCTACATTATCTAAGGCTGTGGCAGGCAGCTGTCTACATCAAAGAAATCTGCCTTGAGTATAGAATTGTGGCTCAATTTAGAACCTTATTTGTTAGAAACAAAAAAGCTACAGTGAAGAGCGACTAACATTTATTTAGAACAAGTTGTCCTTTCAATTGAGAGGTCCTTCTGTTTGCAGGAAACTGTTGCATTGTTATAGATATGTGAAATAGTACAGTGGCTCATAACTTTTCCAGACTACTGTACTCCTCTTCAGGAATTTGATTTGTCTTGCAAACCACAAGTTTCATCTCTCTTAAAAACTACTTATTTACAAAATCAGACACAAAAATGTCATAGCACACTGTTACTGAAAAACAGCTTATTTTCTCATTTTTACCATCCATTATGTATTTGAGAGAGTTTGTCTGTGTGGTATGCCTGTCCATCTATTCAAAGCTTATGCTCCTACACTTCAGTTAGTCTATAAGGTGCCACAGGACTCCTCGTCGCTTTTGCAGATTCAGACTAACACGGCTACCCCTCTGATAAATTCAGTATAGCGCTTTCTCTTATGGTAACTTAAAGCAAATTAAGGTTTTGTTTGTGCTGGGAAAATGGGATGTACCTGGAACGGGATTGCTTTTTAGAAAACTATGCCGAAGAGACACAGAATCACTAGGCAGGTGAAAGCAGCCGGGGAGAGGGGGCGAGGAGGCCGGAAGCCTGCCCAGGACTGCCCCCGCCCCGAGCTTTCTACACCCAGATGCCCTTTAGGTAGACAAGCACCACTTTCCTCTCACTCCCTGATGAAGGGGAAGTGCACAGTATGCAGCATTCTTCACTCTGCCTGGGGAGTGCAGGGGGCAGACGAACCTGGACACGCACCCTCCCCTAGCAGTGCCCACTGGAGCTGCAGCGGCCATGGAGACACATTTCTCTCACCTGACCTCAAGCAGCTGAGATATGAGAGAACTGGGGTTTTCCCAGGGATAGCCTGCATACTGACCCCCTTATCCCCTGCCCTACCTACCCCAGAACAATGATCTAAACGAAGCATGTACATTTTCCATTTTATTTTCTAATACACAAAACACTGAGTTAAGGACCCAGGCAAAACTGGTAAATCTTCTAATATTATAATAAAATAAATCATTTGGAATATAAATATTGTCCTTAAATTTTCATATAAACAAATCACGGTCTGTAGGAAATTTTAGTTTCTACTGTCTTTGCTAATGCTTTTTATGTAGCTTGCTGTAAAACTAGACAAACATCTAGATGAGCTGGTACCCCTAGAAGATCTCTATATACCCAGAGTCTGTGTACTCCTGGTTGAAAACCACTGAAATGGAAGGTAGGGATGTCAACGTGTAGTCAACTACACGATTAACAGATGAGCCTGTATCAGAGGCAGCAAGGCAGGGGGAAGAGCAGGAGCTGGTGCCCATGAGGAACTGACTCTCCAAAAACACCAGATCTGCCTGTCCCCATCCCCATGCAGCTGTCTCAGAGAGGCAGCACTGGCGGGGGGGGGTGGAAGGGAAAGACACGAAGGTAGGGATGTCAACGTGTAGTCAACTACACGATTAACAGATGAGCCTGTATCAGAGGCAGCAAGGCAGGGGGAAGAGCAGGAGCTGGTGCCCATGAGGAACTGACTCTCCAAAAACACCAGATCTGCCTGTCCCCATCCCCATGCAGCTGTCTCAGAGAGGCAGCACTGGCGGGGGGGGGTGGAAGGGAAAGACAC